AAATAATATTGCATCATAAATCTTGGCCAAAATGTATTTTGTTATCTTTCTAGTAAAAAAAAAAAAAAAAAAAAAAAAAAAAAAAAAAAATAACCCAAATTAGTTTATAACCAAAAATTATAATTTTTAAAATTTTTTTTTTTACATTTTTATTTATTTTTTTTTTTTACATACTGTCACCCTAGCAGTACTGTGTCACCATGGCCGGACGGGAGGTGGTTAACTGCCGTCTGGGACAATTTTGACATTTTTTGTGCTAGAAAATTACAAAAACATGACTATAAAAACATTTTCTGAAAGCAGAGGCCCTGGAGAATAAAATGGTGGCTGTTGCAATTTTTTTAATGTTGCATGATATTTACGCATCTGTTTATCAACTGGAAATTAATTTTAGCTTTGCACAAACACACCGCTGCGCTGTGATTGGCCCATGGAGAGCGGTGAGCACTGTCGTTCTTTGGGAAGCGTGTAGCCCAGCAGTGAGGTGTGAATGGGGCCCCCGGAGCGGACGTCTTGTATGAGTGCTGACCCCGCCAACACGTGATCAGTGACTTCTGAGGAAAGTCAAGCCGAGGACTGCCCCTGGTGCGCTGATAAATGCCCCCCCCGTTGCTGTTGGGGGGTGGGGCTGTGTTCCTCAGCAACGACTTTCCCTCAAAGTCTCAATTTACATATCCCGAGGGGAGGGGCTGTAGGGACCCTGTAGGATCCTCAGAGGCCCCATTCTGCCCCCAGCCTCAGGAAGCCCCAATGACAGGAATTATCCAGTACTGATGGGCCCCTTCCAGGGACTCAGCCCGGATCTCAGGGGCCCCCTCAAATCTCAGGGTGTCACTCGGATGCCCCTCCCCTCAGAGCCCCCCCAACATCCTCCCCACCTCCCTTCCTGGGTCGCTGTCACTCTCACTGCCCGGTGCTGCTGCTCTCCTTCCTCGGCTCCGGGCCACCCAAAATGGCAGCTGACGCGTGCACTCAAAACACAATATAAATGCTCAATTTTCTAGTAAAATTTAAAAGATTAGGTTGCGTTGAGTAATTAGATACCAAACATGTCAAGATTTAGAACTGTGCACGCCTGTGAAATGGCGACAAACTACGGTACCTAAAATTGTCCATAGTCAATGCTTCAAAAGCTTTTACAGGTTATCATTTAATCATGAATTAGGGTCCTGGAATTATTTCTCTCACTGCGATGTTTGCTGCGATACCTCACAATCATCGCTTACACACCGAGTATACTGTGCCGCAATCGTGGCTCCTGTGCGCATGCGAGTAGGTGACGTCATCGAGACTCAGCCATTCAAACGGCCAGAGCCTGTGAGCCCCGGAAGGCCAAGAGAAGATGGAAGCCCTGTAAGCGGTGACAACGCACCTCTGGAGTGCTTTGGAAGTCTTTCATAATGTGCTAGCATGCAGTGCATCACAGCAGATTATGCCTTCTGTCAGTTGCGGCTGCAATCTTTCTTGGTCTACCTGACCTTGGCTTGGTATGAAGAGATCCCCGAACTTTCCACTTCTTAATAGGTGATGCAACAGTACTGATTGGCATATTCAAGGCTTTGGACATTTTTTTTATGTCCTTTTCCATCTTTATAAAGCTCCATTACCTTGTTACGCAGGACTTTTGACAGTTCTTTTCTGATCCCCATGGCTCAGTATCTAGCCTAGTCAGTGCTTCCATGAAAGAGCTAACAAACTCATTGATTATTTATACACTGACACTAAATGCAATTTAAAAAGCTACAAATGTGGAACATTAACCTCTAATTGGCATTTGAACCCGTGTGTGTCACCTTGTGTGTCTATACCAAGGCCGAACATTCCGGGGGGCCGAGACTTCTGATCCGGGGGCCGAACTTCTGATCCGGGGGGCCGAGACTTCTGATCCGGGGGCCGAGACTTCTGATCCGGGGGCCGAGACTTCTGATCCGGGGGCCGAGACTTCTGATCCGGGGGCCGAGACTTCTGATCCGGGGGGCCGAGACTTCTGATCCGGGGGGCCGAGACTTCTGATCCGGGGGGCCGAGACTTCTGATCCGGTGGGGCCGAGACTGATCCGGGGGGCCGAGACTTCTGATCCGGGGGCCGAGACTTTGATCTGGGCCATTTGGGTGATTTCTGTTATCATTTGGATTTATAAAGGAGCCAAACAACTCTGTGATAATAAATGGCTTCATATGATCATCATCCTTCGATAAAAGAGCATTTTTTGGCAGATCCGTCATATTTTCAATATCAATGCCAAGAAAATGCTCTTTTATTGAAGGATGATGATCATATGAAGCCATTTATTATCAAATAGTTGTTTGGCTCTTTTTTAAATCCGAATGATAACAGAAATCACCCAAATGGCCCGATCAAAAGTTTCCCTGCCCTGGAATGTTCGGCCTTGGTACAGACACACAAGGTGACACGCATGGGTTCAAATGCCAATTAGAGGTTAATGTCACAATTTCTGCCAGGGTATGCAAACTTTTGAGCACAACTGTAAATATATATATATATATATATATATATATATATATATATATATATATATACACATACATACACATACAACATACACACACACATATATATATTATACACACACACATACACCTGTTAGATTGTAAGCTCTTACGAGAAGGACTCTCTGCTTCCTCTTGTACCAACTTGTATTGTAACTGTAATGGTTAACCTTCATTTTGCAAAGCGCTGAGCAAACTGTTGGTGCCATATAAATCATATTTAAAAAAAAAAACTAATATACCATCTCACACACACACACCACATATATACACACATATAAATACACACACATACATATCAATCACATATGCATACAAGCCGTGAAAACCACAGGTTCACATTGAACTTACAGTATATTCTATGCACAGAGCCAAAAGAAAAAACGCCCAACTACCCGGCCTAGACCCCCGTCCCTAAACACGTACCTGGCTCCTCTCACTGATCCTGCACTGTCCTGGCTGCAGCACCTATCCCGTTCTGGTCTCACAGAGAGCAGCGCCATAGGCTCCTGCTGCTGTCAGTCAAATCCTGTAAGGAGGGAGAGGGAGCGTGGCGTGCCAGCACTGTGCGTGTGTGTGTGTCTATGGACGCACACAGCCCAGCTCAGGAGTGCACCCGCACAAGTGCCCCTTAGCAGCCGGCTGGCACTGATAAGTGCCCTGATGATCAGTGCCCACCAGTGCAGCCCACCTGTACCCAGCAGTGCCACCTGGCTCTGAGGAAGAGGCACAGCCTCTAAACTGTAAGCCAGCCACCGAGAGGTCTACAGTCCCCCACCAGACATCCTTCAGGGTGATTGGACCACGCTGCATTTCTTGTGACACGCCCTTCATTTGATTTTATTTCTTTGTAAGCATCTTACTTTTTATCAATAAATCTCGTTTTTAAAAGGTAAGCCACTAGGCCCGTGCGCCCTCTTTTTGTTTCTTCATATTCAGTGCCACCCACCAGTGCCCCCCCATCAGTCAGTGCCCCCCATTGTTTCATATCAGTGCAGCCTATCAGTGCCCATCATTGTTGCATATCAGTGCCCATCATTGTTGCATATCAGTGCAGCCTATCAGTGCCCATCATTGTTGCATATCAGTGCCCATCATTGTTGCATATCAGTGCCCATCATTGTTGCATATCAGTGCCCATCATTGTTGCATATCAGTGCCCTATCATCATTGTTGCATATCAGTGCCCATCATTGTTGCATATCAGTGCCCGTCATTGTTGCATATCAGTGCCCATCATTGTTGCATATCAGTGCCCATCATTGTTGCATATCAGTGCCCATCATTGTTGCATATCAGTGCAGCCTATCAGTGCCCGTCATTGTTGCATATCAGTGCCCGTCATTGTTGCATATCAGTGCAGCATCATCAGTGCAGCCTATCAGTGCCCGTCATTGTTGCATATCAGTGCCCGTCATTGTTGCATATCAGTGCCCGTCATTGTTGCCATATCAGTGCCCGTCATTGTTGCATATCAGTGCCCGTCATTGTTCATATCAGTGCCCGTCATTGTTGCATATCAGTGCCCGTCATTGTTGCATATCAGTGCCCGTCATTGTTCCATATCAGTGCCCGTCATTGTTCCATATCAGTGCCCGTCATTGTTCCATATCAGTGCCCGTCATTGTTCCATATCAGTGCCCGTCATTGTTCCATATCAGTGCCCGTCATTGTTCCATATCAGTGCCCGTCATTGTTCCATATCAGTGCCCGTCATTGTTCCATATCAGTGCCCGTCATTGTGCTCCATATCAGTGCCCGTCATTGTTCCATATCAGTGCCCGTCATTGTTCCATATCAGTGCCCGTCATTGTTCCATATCAGTGCCCGTCATTGTTCCATATCAGTGCCCGTCATTGTTCCATATCAGTGCCCGTCATTGTTCCATATCAGTGCCCGTCATTGTGCCATATCAGTGCCGCATCATCAGTGCTGCTTATCAGTGCCCATCACAGTTGCATATCAGTGCCCATCAGCCTGTCAGTGCCGCCTCATCAACGCACATCAGTGAATTAGAAAAATTACCCGTTTGCAAAATTTTATAATAGAAACAAAGAAAAATGTTTTTTTTTCCCCCAAATATTTTGCCTTTTTTGTTTATAGTGCAAAAAATAAAAACCCCCCAGTGGTGAGTAAATACTGCCAAAAGAAAGCTCTATTTGTGTGAAAAAAATGCTAAAAATTTCATAAGAGTACAGCGTGGCATGACTGCACAATTGTCAAAGCGCGACAGAGCTGAATGCTGAAAATTGGCTTGTGCAGGAAGGGCAGTAAAAGTGCCCGGCAGGCAAGGAGTTAAAGCCAGACTCCGAGCAAAAAAAAAAAAAAAATCATCTCTTGCAATGTAGCTGTTACCGCACTGCGAGGGTTAATTGGCTGTCTAGGGGAACAGTAAGACAAATATAACTACCGATTCCACCGGCTCCTCCCTGCCGCTAAACCGGTCTCCACAGCGTCTGCCCCCCTCCCCCGCCCTGAAATGACGGAGACTTACTTGAAACAGCCATGACAACGTAATACGTAGTTTCTGGTCTGGCGGATCAGCATTCCATCCACAGACAACACATGGAGCCCCATCTGGATGAGCACGTTCTGCAATTACAGTAGGGTTAGGAAGAGCCGATGCGGGGCCGCTCTCACTATTCGATGGAACACTATTCAAGGAACGCTCGCTGTGATACCTGCATCGCAAAATCCGTAGTCAAGCAGCCGACAAACACATTATCCGGAGCCTCGCGGACACCCATGTCCTGCTGGATCTGTTTGAGGTTTCCAGGTGTAATCCAACCTCCTCCATCATCATCATCATCATGATCCTCCTCTTCATCCCCAGATGATCCCGCCAGTGTGTTGTCTTGTGACGTCGCTGGCTCAGGGCTGGCAGTGACCGACACTACCTGGGCATTCTGCGGAATCAAAGCACTAGAGATGAAGACCGGCAGTTGATGATGGAATTACAGTAGCCTGCTGTTTAGAGGATTTCTCTGGTTTTACTTGTGCTTTTTAGGGCTCATTCACACTAGTGGCTGAGCCGTGTTTTTTACTGTCCCCTCGACCACTCCCCTTTAGCTGCAGAGGCAGTGGCTGAGAGTGTACACATTCCATGGCCGTGACGCTTTGCTTTTGGCAGACATAGCGCTCGCCAAGCACAACCCATTGAAGTGAATAGGGCCCGCTTTACTAGAGCCCCGCAAATGTGTGCAATGCACGCGGCTGTGACGTCCTAGCTCAGGGTTCAAGGAGAAGTTCACCTTTTGGACAAAAATAATAAATGCATTTTTTAAGCAGCTTTATGGGTGTAAAAGCAATCAGTGTAAAAAAAAAAATAAAAATCGTCACCCCACACAAGTAGTACAGTGACAGTATGTTAAAAAAAAACCAACCAATTTTTGAAAATTTATAATTTTTGGTTATAAACTAATTTGGGTTATTTATTTGTTTTACTAAAAAGATAGATTAATACATTTTGGCCGATATTTATGAAGAAAGATTATTTATTTGCAAAATTGTATAAAGAAAAAAACACTTTTTTCAAAATGTTTGGACTTTTTCATCTATATAGCATAAAAATCCCGGCGGTGACTAAATACCACCAAATAAAGTTTTATCTGTCTCAAACAAATGCTAAAACATTCATATGTGTTCAGTGTTGCATGACCGCGCAATTGTCGTTCAAAGTGTGATAGCGCTGAAAGCTGAAAATTGGCCTGGATGGGAAGGGGGGGGGGGGGGTTGGGGAAGCGTCCGGGGAACTGGGGGGGGGGGGGAAAGCGTCCGGACTGCAAGGGGGGGGGGGGGGGGGAAAGCGTCCGGGGGAAGGGGGGGGGGGGAAAGCGTCCGGGCTGGAAGGGGGGGGGGGGGGAAAGCGTCGGGCTGGAAGGGGGGGGGGGGGGGAAAGGCGTCAAGGGGGGGGGGGGGGAAAGCGTCCGGGGGCAAGGGGGGGGGGGGGGGGGAAAAGCGTCCGGGCCGCAAGGGGGGGGGGGGGGGGAAAGCGTCCGGGCCGGAAGGGGGGGGGGGTCCGGGCTGGAAGGGGGGGGGAAAGCGTCGGGCTGGAAGGGGGGGGAAAGGGGGGGGGGGGGGGAAGCGTCCGGGCTGCAAGGGGGGGGGGGGGGGGGGAAGCGTCCGGGCCCAGCCGAGGGGGGGGGAAAGCGTCCGGGGGAAGGGGGGGGGGAAGCGTCCGGGCCGGAAGGGGGGGGGGGGGAAAGCGTCCGGGCTGGAAGGGGGGGGGGGGGGGAAGCGTCCGGGCTGGAAGGGGGGGGGGGGGGGGGGGGGGCTGGAAGGGGGGGGGAAGCGTCCGGGCTGGAAGGGGGGGGGGAAGCGTCCGGGCTGGAAGGGGGGGGGGGAAGCGTCCGGGCCGGAAGGGGGGGGGAAAGCGTCCGGGCTGGAAGGGGGGGGGGAAGCGTCCGGGCTCGGAAGGGGGGGGGGAAGCGTCCGGGCTGGAAGGGGGGGGGAAAGCGTCCGGGCTGGAAGGGGGGGGGAAAGCGTCGGGCTGGAAGGGGGGGGGGAAAAGCGTCGGGCTGGAAGGGGGGGGGAAAGCGTCCGGGCTGGAAGGGGGGGGGAAAGCGTCCGGGCTGGAAGGGGGGGGGGAAAGCGTCCGGGCCGGAAGGGGGGGGGAAAGCGTCCGGGCTGGAAGGGGGGGGGAAAGCGTCCGGGCTGGAAGGGGGGGGGAAAGCGTCCGGGCTGGAAGGGGGGGGGAAAGCGTCCGGGCTGGAAGGGGGGGGGGAAAGCGTCCGGGCTGGAAGGGGTTATAAAGTATGGAGACCCTTGCTTAGAACATGTAGACAACAATACACCCAATACAGAGCACGTGTGTGAAAGGGTCCTGGATCTGCAGTGTGGCTCTAGGAGTCATTTATATCACAACGTACCATCAGTTCCACCAAGTCATCCTCAATACTGGGTAAGGGGCTCCTCCAAAACAGGAAAGAATTGAACTCTTTGCTCTCCTCATCCTTCTCCTCCACCACTGTGGACTTCACGGAGCCGTCCTTCTTACCTGCAGGCTGGAGAAGAGACACAACAATCTGAAAATATCAGGATAACAAAACGAGAGGCGAGGGGCTCATTCACACCAGCTAAAGAATAGTTCCAGGTATGGCTACATTATACAATTACATTGGTCCAGCTTGGACCAACGTAACCATTTATATCCCATTCCTGGCTGACACCCCTCAAAGCTGGAAATGACCGAAAGTAGACTTTGCTACTCCAGTGATCTCCACTCGCTTTCCTTTCCTGTGCTGACCAGCTGGCCTGACGCATTCTGCATGCAGGAGATCGGCCACTCCGCATCGGCACCATTCAGAGAAGGCTTTGCATTTCCTGAATGAATTGGACAAGGTGGAGAGTGTGACGTCACACTCTCCACTTGGTTCTATCAATGAACGCTTTGCATCCAGAGAACGCAAAGCATTCTCCAAATGACATCAGTGCCGAGCAGCCGACTTCTTGGCGTGGGACCTCGAAGTAAGTGGAGATCGATGGAGTAGCAGTGTAGTATTGGGGGTCTACTTTAGTGAATTCCAGACTCCAGAGGCATTGCTCAGGTATAGTATATACATAGTTACATTGGTTCAAGCTGAACTAATGTAACTATGTATTATATAGCCCAGGGATCGACACATCCCAGGCACCAGGTTGCCTAGATAAATTGCATCTTGGCGCCTGGGTTCACACTGCCTCCCATTGATTTCCAAGCAAAAAACGCCCTCCCCACTGACTTCGATGCTAAAAAAACCTCCTACTGACTTCCATGCAAAAACGCCCTGCACACTGACTTCGAAGCAAAAATGTACATTGGACTGCACAGTACAATGGGGCTGGTATGGAGGAAACCTATATAAAGGAGAAGTGCTGAGAATTCCAGGTACCTTGGATGGGAAGTGGAAGCCGGCCACATTAACGGGAGCTTCTGGGTGCCGAGCTGTGCTACTGACAGAGACCTGCAAAAAAACAAACGTATTGAGCTTACAGAAACACAATGTCCGAATACAGATATAGGAAGGCTTTTCCTGCAAGAAATTGTTTAACTGCTTCCTTCCCCTCCGCCCTATAGAAGATATACTGCGGCAGGGATATATATATATATACATACATACATACACACACATACATATATACATACACACACACGATTTTGCATTTCCAGGTAGGGGGCGCGCACGAGCCCTACCTGCAGCCTCGGCTGTCAAGCACCGGGTCCTGGCTGGTGATCCCTCGCCGGCCATGGTGCTCCCTGGGCCCATAGATAGGCAAGTGGGACCTGGATACATGGCGGGAGTGCTGGCGCGAGGTGGGGGTTGTTACCACTTGACAGGCAGGAGTCTGCCTATCACTTTTATACACAATCCTGGTGACTACAGCCATCGGATTGTGTGTATAACGCCCCACCCCCCCCACTATCAGGTCCGTACCTCGTAAAGAGGGGGGCCATTATTTTCTATACCCACGGTGGGTCGTCACAATGCATAGCAAGCTGTATCATAGATTCCCCTTTATCTTCTCTTATGCTGCTCACCTTACTAGTCGGTTCTGTTCGGATATGATCCTCTCCGACATGCTCAGCCTCCAGCTGGTAGGCGAGAGCCAGAACCTTGATGTCAATGGCGGACAGGCTGCCATAGTCTCCAGTCTTCTTTGAGAATTCCGTCACTGTAAAACAGATACAGACAACACAATGTCAGCATGTGGTGACCCTCCAGAGTCTCCCCGTCTACAGGACCTTCACAGGATGTGCCGACATACCATCCTGTGCCCATTAACATGGAGACTAATGACTGGGATGACATAAAAAGTGCCTCTGTTTTCAAGCCATGGACAACACTGAAGAAATGACACTTTGCTACAATGTGACGTAGTCAGTGTACAGCTTGTATAACATGTAAACTTGCTGTCCCCTCAAAATAACTCCACACACCACCATGAATGTCTAAACCGCTGGCAACAAAAGTGACTCTGTATATCCGGTACTTTTATTTTTTTTAGATCTGGTCAGCTGTCTTGTAATAGAAATCCGAGTGGCTAAATAGCTGCTGGATTGCTATTACAAGCAGAGGGAGGAGACTTCCCCTCCCACGGCATTAATGGGCTGCCCTGTCGCATCTGATCGGCCAGCTGACGCTTCCACCAGCTGATCAGAGAGTGGAACAGCGTTTGTCTCTATGATGTAGGGGACCTGGAAGCTTTTATATTTTTACAGAAATTCTCTGTTTCATAAACAGTTGTGTGACATAAAAAATTGGAAGCGCCGCTATTTTATTCTGTAGGGTCTGAAAATGTATCCTGTCTCGGGGGTGGGGAGGGGGAGGGGTACATGTGCAAAAAAAATATTAAAATGCCTAAACCAGCCCCATGCAGGTGTCGGGGTTCCTGTTATCTTCAGACATGACAGCAGGAAAGGCCCCCGCCTGTGAACAGGGCATGCTGGGACTTGTAATCCTCCCCCGTCAGCTCTCTGCTCACCCAGCTGCACGCTCTCAGGTTTGGGCTCCTTGAAGATCAACTCGTAGGGCAGCACGGCCAGCCGCCTCCGGGTGGCTTTATCCCGGATCTCGGTGACCACCTCCCGCACGGTGTAGACATGAGCGCCGATCTCCTGCAAAACACAACACAGGTCATCGCCCGTCATCCAACACCCGGAACCCCCTTCCCGAGGGAACCCCCGACACCCACCTGGAGCGCCGCATTCCTCAGGAAGGCCCCGGAATCCGCAACAACGTGCTGCACCCTGGGCGCCGCCATGTTTTCCCAGCCGGCCGGGTCTGAGCCAATCACAGCCCGTGGCTCATTGCGTCACTGCGCGGCTGGACTTCTCTTGGCTTGACTCCCTTCAGCGACATCTGCTGGTGGTACTGAGGAATCGCAGCTCATAGAAATTAAAGTGGAACTATAGGCAACTTTTTTTTTTCAATTTGGACAGAGTAAGGAAGGGTTAGAACCCCTGTCAGATTTTTTTTTGCTATCTGTGTCCCATTGGGGAAATTTCTCTTCACTTCCTGTCCCAGAGTCAAACAGGAAGTGAGAGAAAATTACTGCAAATTAAGGGAATTCCCCGGGGACCCCCCAGCTCATAAAAATTAAAGTGGAACTATAGGCAACTTTTTTTTCCATTTTGGATAGAGTAAGAAAGGGTTAGAACCCGTCAGAATTTTTTTTCCACCATCTGCGTCCCATTGGGGAAATTTCTCACTTCCTGTCCCACGATTAAACAGGAAGTGAAAGAAAATTCCTGCAAATTAATGGAATTCCCGTGGCTCATAAAAATTAAAGTGGCACTATAGGCAACTATTTTTTTTCTTTTTGAGTAGAGTAAGGAAGGATTAGAACCTCTGTCACATTTTTTTTCACTATCAAAGTCTCATTGTGGAGATTTCTCTTCAGTTCCTGTCCCATAGTCAAACAGGAAGTGAGAGGGACTTCCCCGGGGACCCCCCAGCTCATAGAAATTAAAGTGGAACTATAGGCAACTTTTTATTTTTTCATTTTGGATAGAGTAAGGAAGGGTCATAACCCAGTTCAGATTTTTATTTTTTCACCATCTGCGTCCCATTGCGGAAATTTCTCTTCACTTTCTGTCCCATAGTCAAACAGGAAGTGAGAGGAAATTCCTTCAAATTAAGGGAATTCCCCGGGGACCCCCCAGCTCCTAAAAATTAAAGTGGAACTATAGGCAGCTTTTTTTTCACTTTGGATAAGGTAAGGAAGGATTAGAACCCGTCAAATTTTTTGTTTTACCAGAGTCTCATTGTGGAGATTTATCTTCAGTTCCTGTCCCATAGTCAAACAGAAAGTGAGAGGGACTTCCCCGGGGACCCCCCAGCTCATAGAAATTAAAGTGGAACTATAGGCAACTTTTTTTTTTCATTTTGGATAGAGTAAGGGAGGGTTAGAACCCCTGAAATATTTTTTTTTTTTACCATCAGAGTCTCATTGTGGGGATTTCTCTTCACTTCCTGTCCCATAGTCAAACATAAAGTGAGAGGAAATTCCTGCAAATTAAGGGAATTCCCTAGGGACCCCCCCAGATCACCAGAACTAGTGTCCCCATTGGAAGATTTGCAGTCTATTACTTTTCTGGGGACAACCCAAAAGTTGTTGGAATGCACTGGTGTGAACTATGCCACTGGAACCTATGTCACCTCCAATTGGTGCGTTTTTGATGCAGAAAAAAAAACCCGCACTGCACGTGGTGTACGAGCTGGCCCTACGTCCTCATGCAGGCGGGACGTTTTGATATCACTAGTAACGTTTGCTGTGTAAAGTCACGTTAAAATCATGAGTTTTTCAGCTTTTTTTTAGAGCGTTCTTGCATTAGCGTTTAGTGGTGTTTTGCCGCGTTTAGCTGTGTTTTTCCCGTTTGCAGTTTTAAGCGATTTTATTACAAAAAAAAGGTTTTTTTTGGTCAAAAAAAGTAAAAAAAAAAAACCCAGTTTTGCTGCATTTTTCAGCGTTAGAGCGCTTTTCCAGCTAAAAAACTCCTCTAGAAACCCTGGGGTTTTTTTCCAGCCAAAAAACGTTGATTCCAGTCTATGTGTGTATGGACACCGAGGATAACATGCTGGGGAGGGGGTGATTTTGCATTTCTGGGTAAGGAGCGTGTGCGCCCTACCCGTGCCACCATTCACATCCGCGGCTGTCAGTCATTGGGTCCCCGGCCGGTGATTGCTCGCCGGTGCCCAGGGATTGCCAAGAATCTCTGATGGGGGGGGGGGGGGGGTCGGGCGTAACTGTTAGTAGACAACACAGATCTCTCCCCTGTCAGCTCCTGCACACTGCTTTGTATGGCTCTGCATAGCAGCATGCTTACAGTGAAACACTCCCAGCACACAGTTAACCCTTTGATTGTCCATGTTAACCCCTTCCTGCCCATTGCCATTAGTACAGTGTCAGTGCTTTTTTTTTTTTTTAGCACTGATCACTGTATTGTGTCACTGGGGATGTCAGTGACACCAAATCAGTTCCCCCCAGAATACCCGCCGCAATCCTGCTGTAAGCTTCTGATCGCTAGTAAAAATAAAAATCCAAGTATCTATCCCGCCATTTGTAGACGCTATAACTTTCACGTAAACCAATTAATTTACAGGTATTGGGATTTTCTTTAGCAAAGACACGGAGCAGGATACATTTTGGTCTAAATTTATGAAAAAATTAGATTTTTTTAAATTTTTTGCTGGACACGTTTAACCTCCCTAGCGGTCTGATGATGTCAGTATTTCTGTGCTCAAAGTGGTACATTTTTTTGCACGGAAATATGTTGTTTTTTTATTGTAGGCTGTAATTCTTAGGAATAACTCACTGAAATCTGTCCGAACAAGAGTCTAGTAAACTTTAAATTTTAAACACGAAATCATAATTTATAACATAATAAATAATCATAAAAAATAATAATATAATAATAAATGTAATTCAATAATATAATCAAACCAAAAACACTGAAATGTGAAATAGAGCGCCAAGTTCGCACATCGCTGAGCTCAGTCGCAGAATCGTTTTCAGTGTCTGATGAGGAATTTCCCCCACCAATCATTATCACTCAATTCTGCAAGTGGTTCTGATTTACTATCGCTGTTCTCTAGCCGGTTTAAAACCGCGTCTGACCTAAAGGGACGCTTTTTGGACGCCATGGACGTTTCTCAGTTTCCAGGCAGAAAGAACAGTAAAAATGCAGGCAGGGCGCCGGACAAAGCACTCGGGACACAATGTATGTGAAATGGTTTGATCAGGGGCGGACTGACAACTCATGGGGCCCCCGGGCAATAGGGGATCATGGGGCCCCTGTGTCCTTGCCCAAACTCAAAAAAGCCTATGAAAAAGGTACCAGGGGCATCTCATGGGGCCCCCTACTGACCCCGGGCCCTCGGGCAGTGCCGAGTTTCCAAATGGTCAGTCCACCCCTGAGTTTGATACAGGAATGTTATACTATGTGATTTTAGTGAATTTAGTGAATGTCACTTTTTGACATTTTAAAATTTCCCACCAGTTCCATCCCCCGTACGTCCCGATGTCGCAGGGAACGGAACCCAGAAGACAGATGCCGGCATCAGCCGGAGGACATTACAGGGGACACTGCAGGGGGGACATCGCAGGAGCGCAGGACAAGGTCAGTGCTGGAGAGATCCCGGAGCGGCGCTGCAGAGTATTCCCGAGTGTAGCTCAGGGTTACCGCTTGTGGTGCTGAAACTTTACCCCGAGCTACACTCAGGAATACCGCCAGGGGGGTTAATAGCAAAATGTCCAAAATACTTTTTTCTCAAAATTGTCAGTTTTTTTTTAGTTTATAGCGCAATAAAATAAAAACAGCAAAGGCGATCAAATACCACCTAAAGAAAGCTCCATTAGTGGAAGAAAAAGGACGTAAATTTCATTTGGCGCAGCGTTGCATGACAGCGCAATTACCAGTTAAAGTAACACAGCGCCGTATCGCAAAAAGTGGCCTGGTCATGAAAGGGGGGAAATCCTCAGGAAGGCGAGGGGTTAACCCGGTGCTTGAATACATTTGATAATTTTGTTACACCAAGCACAACCACATCCGCCACAACAAATATGGTGGCGCCGCATTCGGCCGCTTCCGGTGCCCTCCTCGGCTCACTTCCGTTGCCCTCCTCGGCTCTCTTCCGGGTCAGCTGACAATGCCGCTGGTCACATGACCGAAAGTGCAGGAGGCGGAAGTGGAGAAGGAAGGTAATGTCAACACAGGACTGACGGTGGGTGATAATACCGGGGACCGGGGCGGGGGAGGAGGTTGTGTACCGGAAGAGGGGGAGGGGCATTATGATATAGGCTGTTTTTGGCTCACTAGCCGCTGGGTGACTACAGGGCTCAGCATGCCTTCTATTACAATGAAAGTCAATGTGAACCCATCACTGCGATCCTATCCAGGATTTAGTATTTTAATGTCATTTTAAAAGTTTTTTTTATTTTATTAATGGAATCTGCAGCTTTCCTAAAATAGTCCTTGGTGGTTCTTCCACTTCCTGTTGTAGGGTGACAACACTGTTGCCTGTCTCCAGATTCTGCTGCAGGGTTGTCACCCGGTTGAGGCTACCAGCGGTTTGTGCGGACGCACATTCCTGAGGCCAGGATCCCCTTTTGTTGCTAGCAGGAAGCTGGGCCGGTGATGCACTGCTGACGGTAGGGCAGGTAGGTAGGAAGCGGCTGAAAGAGGCTGGAGGAGATCAGCAGGACTGAGACGTCACAAAGGATTGGATTTCACCGCTTACCATCCATAGGCCATTTATAGGCGCTCTCGGATGGTTGTCCTGCAGCTGCAGTCATGTTCCCGGTATTGATCTTTGCAGCCGGTGATTGTCTTTTAGGTAAACGTAATCTGAGCGGCTGTACAGCTGCTGGATCACATTTACAGGCGGTAGAAGGAGATCCCCTTCCCCCCAGCACCGCCATCTTTACCGGGCTCTCCTGACCCATTGGGGAGCCCGGGAAGGATGCTGTTGGCGGCACCGGCTTCCCTGTACACAGCGAGGGGAACGGATGTTGTTCCTCCCAAAGTGTGACGGTCTTCTGATCCCCTCCACAAGCCGTTACCGGATTGTACAAGCGTGTCATCGGACCGATCTCAGCCTGATCAGATGCTTTGAAGGCCAGAGGAGACCCCAGAGCTCTGCATAAAGAGGACCAGTCACTTCTCCAGCCATCACAAGGGATGCTGTTCATTACTTGTGACAGCAATAAAGTTGATAAAAAAATAAAGGTATGATGTAAAAAAAATTAAAGAAAATAAAATG